ATATTTATTTTAGAGTTCGATTTCCGCGTGACTCCGAATTATCCTTAATTTATGGACATGTGTGTATTATTATCCATTATGTATGGCAACTGAGGTGTAACGGAGGCTATTTTTGTCTATACTAACATGAAAAAAAGCTACTTTTAAATCGATGATCGAACATCTTGTAGTCTCTCTAACATATCATTAATCGGAAGGGACACCGATCTTTACCTATCTTCTAGTTTAACTTGACGTAGTCTATAGATATTCTTTTTTATTCTTAAAACTTCATTAAAATATTCGGAAGGTTTAATTATACCTTTGGCTAAGTTTGCATTTGCTTATTTACAATAGTGGTCTCCAACCGTTTTGTCCCTAAGATCATATTCTAGAATACCTTTTGGATGGCGGACGCCATTTACTTTTTTAAGGTGAATGTATAGCTGGATAGAGATTGTAGGGATTTATATTATTTTAACTAATAACTTAAAGTTTTATTTGAAACTTTCCTATAAGACTTCATTCCAATAAAGGTCAGAGCCAGAATAGTTAAATGTTGTAGCGCGCATCAACGAATGCAAATTTTCTACTTTGAAGGAAGTAGTTAAAAGCCGAGTTTCCGGTAGGAAAAAGGGAGAGTTAGGCTCTAGCTGCCGTCTCTGCCGTAGGTACGTTTGCTTATTGCTGGTTCAAGTGGCTTAACTGCATTGCTTTAATGCCACTAGCGTAGAAAGGGGGTAAGTTCACTGAGCCCTGTAGGCTAGTTTTATCACTTGTTAAAAATTTCAACATTTAGTTTCAATTATCTGACTTTCAATTACCGCCCAAGTACAGGCTAAGATTGTCAGCGTCGAGTTGACGCCTTGTAAATTTTAAAGAGTTAATAAAGGGTGCTCGAACCCTTCCCCTGTGTAATTTTCTACTGCTCCAGTATACAAACACAAGTTCATTACTGGACTCTACAAGTTATTAATACAAGCACATCGCATTTCGCTTTGTGCCGGTATCTTTGTTGGACGCAATTTCTATTTCATTAATGATCAGAAAACTTTAACATAGAATTTTATTGAAAAGTAAAACATACTTATTGTAATCTCGCAGCGGCGGGCACACGTTAAACGATCGGCGGGCGGCATGGTGCCCGCAGGCATAGGGTTCGGAACCCCTGATTACAATATCTCTTTCGACAAGAAGTGTTCATCTAGGTATGCAGTAAATAAGCCCTTTCAGTTTCACTAATTAATAGTCAGATTAATATTCGTACTTTTAATTTTGAGTGGTTTGTATTCGAAGACGAAATTTTTAATAATCGTAACTTGTACGTTTTTAGTTTTAGAGCCTTTTCTCTAATTTGAATTCCAATTTTAGGGGCAATATTATTTATTCATGTACGTATTTTACTTAACATTTTGTTTAATAACATGTTTAGAAATACAAATCCCATATTTACTTGTATAAACTTAATTTTGTTTAAGAATATTCATAATTATTATCGGATCAATTGATTAGCCACTGTCAACAACATAAAAATTAGACTTAACTGCCTCAGCATGTATTAGAATGTCAGCTGTAAAATAGACATTGGTTTGATTTTCATTACCAAATCCAGAAACGTCTTTACTGATAATTACAGCAACATTTCTGTTATCAGCGACAATCTTAAGTGATGTATCATTAATTTGAATTGTCCTGTGCATTAAGTGTGATTGATGCGCCAATGTTCTTTTCTTTTTTTCCCCTAAGAAATGTTAGTGTTAATTTTTTAGCGTTTTGTTTCCCAGTTTTTTTAGCACACGTGAGAAATTTATGACTATTTCCCACAGGATTAGCATTTTTATCCACGTTATTTGTTGCGACAAAATTTAGATAAATGACATGATCCATTACAGTTATAACATTTGGAAGTCTAAATTATTTGAATATGTTGACAAACCTTTTCTGTCATGTAAATCTAAATATGTTACTTCTCGATATCCAGTCTCATACTTTGAAATGGACAGAAGGTCAGAAAATTCTATGCTTTCTGAATTTTTGTTTCGCCTAAAATCTAAAACAAGATTTCCTGGTTGTTAACAATCGAAATCAAAATTAAACGATAGGATTCCGAATCCCCTTGCACTAAACCTAACTTTCATAAAAAATTACTTAGCTCATCACATAATTTCCTTAGAGTTAGAAAATTTGAAGAATTTCTAACGCATTGTAAATTGAAAATATCAACGATGCCGCCTAGCGGAATAGTGGTTTGTGTCTGTGACTGTCGTACCAAAGGGCTCTGGTTCGAAACCCAGAAAAGGCATTGATATTGTAAATGCACGGTGCTCTTGCGAAAGGTGACTTTCTAAATATATGGCGAGCCGGAACTAATAGACACAATCGTGTATTTCTTGTTACGATAATTGCATGGACGTGTTCTGATTAGTCCAGGAAAGTGAGATTAATCACACCATCAACGATGACACCTTCAGACCGAAAAGATTTTCAAGTAACTTTACTCAGTTGTCATGATTTTTGTCTGTTAATAAAAAAAGTGGAAGTTACTTTTAACACTCCTCATGCCAAATATGTTTTCAAAACTTCTTAATTTTCGAAAGTGAATCGTTTAGATCAGTGGTCACCAAACTTATGAAACTTCTGAGCTACTATATCGTCTTTAAATCCTACTGTGAGCTACCAACCAAAACAACTACCAATTTTTAAAATTATTATTCATCATAGCTTATAAATTGATTCATTATTGCCTATAAACTGACAATTGTTTATTGCCTATAAACTTACATGTCTAGTAAATATGAAATCAATTTTAATTAACCTGTATAAATCAATAAGAAACTGAAATTGAATTGCACATAAGAAAGAAACTAAAGTGTAGTTAGTAATAAATAACAAATGTAATGACAGATTTTTTTTACCAGACTTATTAACATTAATGAGAAAGATGGAACTCTTTTTTCTTATCAACACAGGTTTTTAGTGTTGAGATAGTCTTTAGTTGCTGCTATTCGAAAACAGCTCTCCAAGAGTGCATCACTGAATCTCTTTCTGAACTTACCAAAGTTATCAAAGTTTTCTTTCCATTTCAATAAACATGTAAGTTTGTTAGCATACCTGATATATATTTCTTGGTAATCACTTCCAATGCTTATTTTCTCTTCGATTAAATTTACGTCGATTAGATCTTCGATTTGAATATAAGATTCTTTGAGTTACTCATTTTTTCGTCTAAAACATGTCAGTGTTTCTCTAAGTCATACATGTTACATTTTCTTCTGTTAAAATTTCCTCAAAGGTATATTATTTTAAAGAATGTTGCAACTATAGTGAATTCAAAAACAGAACAAATCAAATTTAAGAGTTATAATATAAACTTCAAACTTACCTTCAAACTTCGTGAAAATCCCGTATAACTTTTAATCTCTATTCCCATGAAGTTTTAATTTCGTTTGCAGATACGTGTTTCACAAAGAATTCCGTTTATTTCCGTTTTCCTAAAATTTGCATACACCAATTCATAGCTATAAATCATTCGAAGTCTTCTTAATCCGAAACGTATTCCATCGGATCACAGCATAATAACATGAAAATGTTAATAACACTCTTGTTGGCATTTTAGCATGTTGTGTAGAAACCTGAATATCAGTAGGTGGATCAGGATCTTTCTGTTCTGACACCATTATTTATGGAAGATTTTCTTTACTTCTAGAAACCTCAATGCATCATTGACATGAAGTGATCACTTAAGCAATGAAAACAAATTTATTTACACATATGAAATAATTGTTAAAAAAGAATGAGAATCAGAAACGTCACATTATGCCCGCGGCTGCATTCGCCGTCGTCATTCTTATTCAGAGTCGCTTTCAGCGAGTAGCTGTATCATTGTGATTACATAAGGCAGTTACAATTACAGTTGCACGCCCATTTCGTGTATATTTATTATATTGATGTTGGTAATGCTGAAAAATTATACGTATTATACGTCTGGGAAGATGAGGGCTTAGTTCTTCCGAGAAACAAATATGCTATGCTATTCCAATATAAGTTACTTAAGTACTTATTTATACAAGTAAAAAACGCAATAGAAGATCAAATCCCTATACAGTTAAACAGAAGATTAAAGCTTACCAGATATTATTATTAATAATATAAGACTTTTAAAAGTTTCTGGGAGAATTAAATTGGAAATGATGTCAATTAATTAGAATTAATAGATGTTGTTCGTTAAACTAGGAAAACAAACACAAACTACCTCAGCAAATGAATAATTCCTTTGTATAAATTTAGTGGTAATCAAATAAGAAATCTGATTAAGGTTTTATATGTAAGCAATATTGATATGCACTTCATTTTCTTATGTAAAGCTAAGTTTTATTGTTTCTTCAATTTGGCCAATGAATGAAGAAGTGTGGTTAAGTTATTTATTTGAATATGCAGAGCACATGAGGGCTATCTACTTAAGGCAATGTATGTCTTTGTGGAGGATTTTCTAAGGCTGGTATTCACTTTACGTATGGAGAAAACCATCAATACCAAACACGCAAACAGCCTTTTCGAATCCGGTTTAAACTACCACTATTTGGGGATTTTAACTACTAGAAAAATCGTGGGGGGCCGTTAAACTATATTTCTAATGTGTTTCGTAGCTGTCCCAAGAATTCAAGTCTGAAATATGTCTTTAGCAGAATTTAAATTAATATGTCTTAATTAGCAGAATTTATTGCCAGTCGAGAAAATACTTGGAAGTTAAAACTGCGGAGAGTGCCAGCAGTTTTGGAACTAATAGAAGGAAAAAATATGATTGATATCAAGTACTTTCTTCAAGAATATTTTAATTGGGTTTTACAGAAAAAGTTCCATATAATGCTTAGAAATTACCTTTTTAATGATTTAACAACCACGAGATAACCTCTATCAATAACAAAAAAAAAAAAAAAAAAAAAAAGCTTTCAAATAACTATTTATTTGTATTATGCTTGAGTCTTGATGTGTAAATATTACTTTATTGTTTTCTTTTGTAGGTGTAGAATAAACGAAACTTCTTCGACATTCCCTTCAAGTCACATTCTTCAAAATAAGGAGAAAATGGAGGGGCGAGAGCACGTTTCTGGAGCCAGAATCGAGCAACCCCCGACACCGAACCCTGGACGGTGTGGTGCAGGTGCTTTCGATCCCCCGTTGAGACAAGTGCATTTTGTGTGTGGTGCTAATCTGAGAATTATTCACGCCCTTCTGACATTTCCTTTGTCATTTATTTTATTAATTTCCTTATCCTTCAACTCGGTTGGTTCGTGGATGTTTCAAATTTTATTTTCACGCCCGAGCACTCTTTCTGCATATATTTCTTAACAAGAAAACTGCACATCTTTTCTAAGGAGAACTTGCTCCACCAGTGTTTTTCCAAGATGTATCGTCAGCAAGACCTGAAAAATAAATATAATCGGCTTACATAGCGAACAGACGTTTTGTTAAACTTGAAAATGGGTATGCTGACACATTGGAAATGAATGAGACGAAAAAGACGTTTCAAGCGTTAGGAATTTTAGCTTCGAGTGATCCAAGTGGAGAAATTTTTTAAGGAACAGAAAATTTTGCTTAAAGTAATTACTCTGTTTTTATATTTTTTCAAAACCATTTCTTGATTTAGACATATGCGCTGGAGAAGTATACATTTTCTCAAGTAGTAGAAGTCCGTTGACTTAGTGGATTCTGTATTCTTTGGGAAATCAGATATCATAAATGGCTCAAAGAAAAAAATACAAAAGATATAAAAGTTTAATATGAATTTAAAAAAAGACCGAAGCATGTAGATTACAAATCTGATATTATTAAATTTTATGATGGCCACCGTATATTTTCAGGAATCATTATTATTATGGTAATTAAATTAATTACATAAAATGTTAATTTTCGTCAAAACGTATGTATCTTAATGTATCTGAAATGGGAAAAAGAATTTTTTGCAGAACTGAAATTCTTATTCCTGGAAATATACATTTGAATTTCTAAGCTTTATTTTCCTTTTAAATACAACCTTTTAAACAATAACCAGTTTCCATTCATTGCTTTTTTACATATTTTGTGAAACAAAACATTTATATATTTAGTTTTTCATTTTTTACGAAATTACGAAAAATAAGTATTGTAGTTTAAAATAAAATATTTTATTATATAAATTTTAATTGCATATATTCTCTTTTGCAAGTAAACGAAGAAAAAAATCAAATAATCGGATTACAAAATTTTTAATAATTTTTAAGAAACTCACTTTGACAATTTAACCCTAATAAACATTTATTTATTGCGATAATATTCAATTTTTATAATTATAACATATGTTAAATAGTTTATCACAGAAATGATTACAGTTATATTATAAGTTCTCTAATGTCTTAAATTTGGGGGTAAGAGCAAGCGTCACGTTTAACTTTAATATGATATTATTGCTCTGTATAGAAAGGTTACATTTCTTGTAACTTAATTGATACATTGAGCAGGAGTATATTGGTAAAAATTTCAAAATTTTAGAGCCGATGCAAAATGTTGATGATTCCATTGCTTATTTCAACGAACTTCTACTAATCTTAGATTCTAAGGATAGAAAAAGCGTGAAACGTAATTCCCAAAACTACCCAGTGAATGTATCTTTTTTACCTCAAGGAAAAGAATGTATATAATATAAATATTTATCATATTGAACGTTAAACAATTTATTTTATTTAAACATTATGGTGCTTTGCTTAAAAAATGTCTGTCAATACTACTCGAATGATCTATCATACGAGCAAAATTACGTTTTATTAAAGATGTAGTAATTTTCAAATTGCTCATTAATGCTCACGTATAAAATTTTAAAATCATTAGTTTAAAACACTATTGAAACGTTATGGCTCCAGTTAAAATTATTTTCAGGTACAAGCCTTGCGAGTATAACGTATGATCTATGAAACATACTGAAAACCATATTACTTCGTAATTATGCGTAAACTTGTGCAATACAAATTACCTTCAAGAAGCTCAACAAGCTTATAAAATGAATTGCAATTTTGCATTCAAATTTTAAAACATTAAATAGGAAAATGAAAGGAAATATTTTATGGGAATTTTCTGAGTTCATATTAAATAAATAATGCTTATTTCTGTTTTGTTTTTACAAATTTAAGGATCTAACTTTACTTCATTTTTCAATCAAATAACTCAAATACCTTGTCTACAAAAACTATAAAAGTAAATTTGCTTACTGACAATCACTATTCTCCACTGATAATACAAAATTCTGAGTTATCATTTTAGTTCCTTTTCAAATTCCACTTTATGGGAAACAAATAAAGCTGCATGTGTGCGTTTTTAAATAGTAGCAAACCTATTATCATCGTCAGTATTAGCAGTGAATTACATTTGACAATCTGAGCGTATTAGAACATATATAATATTTTAATTTAAATAAAGGTTAAGAGGATTCTGATCACGAAAGTTACCACGAATAAGCAAATTAATACATGTCGACACTATTTCTATTGAACCATAATTTTTTTATGCTACTTTTTTCCAAAACCTTTCTTTAACAGTGTCTTCTGTTATATTTCGTGTGTAAACATCTTGCCATATTTTAATCATTTGTAATCATATAATTTCTGCATATATCTGAGTACATTATTACTATTGCATAAAGTTAACAAAGTTCACTCTTTTTTTATAATTTAAAAAAATGAAACTGTAACTGATTCTGCTGGTGCTAAATGTAGTTATCGAGAATAATGTTACGCTAATTCCGCAACAAATGCAGGTTATCATAATTAAGACTAAAGAAGAATCAAAGACAGAATGCGGACGAAAGATTTCAAATAATGCAGTTTTTTATTCTAAAATTTTCCGAAATCTTTTACGTAAAGATAGCAGCAGAAATAATTGAAATCATGGAGATGCCTTTATTACTGAAATAAAAACTGTATATGCTGATGTACTATAAGTAAATTCAAATGAAATAATGAATGAACTTGTACAGTATGTGGTTTTAAAGGTTTATCAGCGTTGCCAAGCAACGACGAACCTATTCCTTTTATTATAAAAAAGATATTAATAAAGCGGATTTTTTTTTAAGATCTAACTTGTGTTTCTGCTCCAATAAACTGTTTTGTAAAGAAAACTGTAAAGACCAAAAAAATGTTGTGTGTTCTTGTAACATAATCATTAAAGATTTACTTTTCAGTAAAAATTATACAGTAGTTTGTAATTTTTTTATAGTTGTTTACATTTCTCACATGAATTTCACAAGAACATAGAAAACACATTGCATGGCTAAAATGCAGCAGTGCAAAATTTTAACAGTATGTCTGATTTTTAGCATTGGGAACTTAAAGCAAAGAATCTAAATTAAATATTTTGTAGCGCTTAAACTGAGGTGAAAGAAAAAAAAATTAAAAACTTACTTCTGTAATATTTAAGGAAGCATTCAAAACCCACATATACCACAGATTCATATTTTAACGGTATTTAAAGGTACTTCAAATTTGTTAAATGCTTGTTCTTAAAACCTCTTGTTTGATAACATGAGAATAGCATTCGCCAAACAATAGCGTTCAAGACAACTGTTGAAATTTCAACTTCAGAATAAGATTTTGGTGATGAAACTTCCTCTGAAGTTATTCGCGAGTAAGAAAGTTTGAAACTTTATCCGAATAACTAATGCTCTTGCATCAAGCTTCGGCACAGTTTGTCAGCCAAGAGTTGTTTGCTGTTTTCAAACGATGCTGACAAATGTGTGTTCAGATGTTAATATCTCTTTGTTCGGGATGTTCAAAGCTCCTAAACTTTCAGCTCGAGATGTTCCTGTTAGGAAGCTCGCATGTAAGAACTTGCCCTGCAGTTTTCTTTATTAACTGCTTACAACAGTATTTGCTATATTGCAAAGCGATTTAAAATGTGTCTAATGTTGCATCGTGTGTTATATTATTGCGATAATATTGCAAACTTGTACAATATTGCATATCATTTATGATTCAGCACTGACTATCTTGAGAATTTCCAGTTAACTGCAAAGATTATCATTGTTAGGAAACATTTGAAGATGAACGTGTAGTACACGTGTTATGCATACACCGACAAAATGGTTTGCTGCAAAAATCTTAACTTTATGGGGAGGGAACGGTCAGCACACTGTTTCATTTTCGAAACGAATCCGCAACATTCACCATACCCATTTGTCAGTATTCCTTTAAACGATAAAGCATTTTTTTATAAATCGTTGTGAAACTTATTTCAACAAATCGTGATTCTATTTTGATCCTGTGAATTTAAGTTATAACATATTTTTCGGATACAGATATTCACAATTAAGTCTGTAGCTAAATGCATACTGGAATAAATCCGCTGAGATTGTTGAATTCCGTTAATATCTAATCCATCTTGCTTTGAAGGTAATTGCCATACACGATTCATCAGGTAAACTCAGATAAACTGGGCTAGCTGTTCTGTTGTTGGCATTGTATAAGTATAATGTTTACTGTATTTCGTGCTCTGTCAGTAATTTAGGAAAACATTCTCAACAGAAACCTAAGAAGTGATAAAACAATATGATAACGAAACCTTTCATCCGACTCAAAAGTCCGACTGGCATCGTGCTTCTAGTTCCAGAGATGATATCGAAATTCGCGAATTAGGTGGCTTCACACCCGGAAGATGTTTCAAAATAATAGAACAGACGAAAGTTCATGTTAAAGAAATTTTCTGACTGTAAAGGTATTGATTGTTCCCCTCGAATTTCCCTTTTGGAGCAATACCCCATCGGTATTCTTATCCAACAAAGCTTCCACGAAAATATTATTCCTAATTATCTAGTTTGTTGTAGAACTCTTTTCAATTATCGTATTTGCCTGACATTTCCTACAGATACTTTTTTAAAATTTTCTCGGGACATACGTCAATTGAAATCCTTGGGATTTCTAAAGTGTACGCAATGATAACGTAACAGTGGTGGATATGAACGACCGCTAAAAGTAGAAGTTCCTGAAGTCCCTTAATGAACACTAAGAAGATGGTAAAAGTGTACTATTGCTGAAGGATATTAATTTGAAGGCATACATGATCATCATAACCATAGGAACTAGAGATTTTCAAATTCAATTCCTTAAGTTTTAAACAAACGAAAAACAGAGAGCGCTATTAAAAATAATCAAATTGCACTTTTACTTATTATTAAGTCGTAAGAAATTTAATTACATTACGCTAGATTCTTGAATTTTGGAATACAATGTATGTTAGCTGTGGGCACGGCCTTTATTTTCGCCTATATGTGTTCTTATGTTTATAAAATGTCTTAAATCTGCCTAAGAAATATATAATATATGCAGATTAATTTTTGAAATGAATATATCAACTGTATTTTGGAAAAGAATATTTTAGCTAATTTTATCTACAATTCTAGTCATAATTTGCATCAAAAGCATAAAATAATATATACATATTATTAACTTAATACCTTTAGTTAAAGAAAATTAGGAAAATAATATCTGATTAAATAAACTTGGATTTTCGGAGTGCTGTCGTCCGAGAAACAAGGTTTGTTCCTAAAGGTTAACCAGAAAAGTCTGTAATCTCTCTCCAAAAATCCTTGTTGTTTTCTTTGCTGTTAGGCATGTCACTGCAGATCATCGAATGAGAGCCAGATGCTTTTCATAAGCTAAAATAAAACACCAAAGCGTTTAGGACTATCAGATTTATACAAATAGTGGGCGCTGATCTAGATATGTCCTTATTCTACTTCTTTTTAGCTTTTGAAGGAGAAAATCAACGATGCATCACCGTAAGACTCTCTACCCCTCTTCCCGTAGTTATATGATTTTCCAGCAATGTAAAGGCTAGAGGAAAATACTTTTCCAGAGCTTTTATCTGAACAGGGAAAAAAAATTTTTTTCGGGCCGAAAGACCGCCTTTTATTAGATTTTGGCTGCAAGAAAAGAATCGTTTCAGACCGCTGTTGCCACGCAGGATATAAGAACTTTGAAAGTTTTTGTTTTCATTTTGAGTAGATTATGTTTTTTCATGAGTTCGTTTTTTGTCCCGAGTCGGACGCATTGGTTTAAAAGAATAAAGAATAGCCTTTTTGGTGACTCTTTATGCGGAATAACATTGTACTTTTTTATAGATTTTTGTTGGCATCTGGCTGGTTTTCAAACTCTAAAATAGCTCTGTGAGTGGAGAAAAAAGGCTAGATTGCTTTATTCTTCTGTAGACAGAGTCATGCTCGACCGCTTAGCGTAACCGCAGACACGATGGGTCATTCTGTCACGAGATACAGATTCCATATTTACAGAAAAGTTCTGTTTTTCTTAACGCAGTTTGCTCCATCTGGTGGTCATCAGAGGAAACTGCTGTTTTTCTCTAGAAATGTGTAACGATGCTTCACGTTTGAAATGATTGACAGTATTTTGCTCTTAGTACTAAAGGATAAAATTTGAGAACAGCTTTTTATTTATTTGGACCGCTGATATAAGTAATTCAGAATCAAGAGACCCAGTTCCTACACTTATGGCATCTGTGTAAGTTTTTTATTCTTAAAACTCTTGTTTAGATATTGAACATATATAGTGGTATATTTTATAAAAAGACATCGAGTATTTTTAACCCGCGAGCACACGCACCGATCCAACGAACACGAGAACACGCGCCGGGTTGTCATACCCGAATAAAAAAATTGTAAATAAAAATTTGCCGAAAAAAATTAATCGTTTTTTTTTAAAAATTTAAAATGTAAAACCAAGTTAATACTTCATTTTAGATAAAATAGGAAACAATAAGGATAGGAAAAATTATTTACTTACAATTTTTTGAACATTTTTTACAAAATGGGGTCATATGTTCCATATATATACTTTTTCTACAATTTTCACAAATGAATCTAGTCTTTCTATCGTTTTTCTTGGAGCACTCTGTACACCTCTTGTAAGTCATTTCAGGTTTTTTGAAGGGCGGTCCATTGTTAACATGTTCATCGGTGGTCAGTGTTCGTCCAGAATCAAGAATCACAGATGCTCGTCATCGTTCATTTTGAACATTTTCTATTAACTGCATCCCTAAGGCTTTGAGAAAAGTACTCATCCCTTTCACGAGTTAAATTTTCTCGTATTGAATCAATATAAATATTTGTATTATCAACTACGTGTTTTAACATATCTTCATCGATAAGCAATGACAAGGACTCTAAGGTGTTGAGACGTCTTTAGAATACTTTGTATTTCCAGGGAGTTTAGTTATAATATTTTTGGCGCCCAATTCTAACATTAGTCCGGAGAATTTATTTTTGTTCCATTTTACTCCATTTTTTCCAACATAAAACTCATTGCTACATTCCAGAGTTTCATTTTCTGTTTCTTTCTGTATCTGAATCACTACTCTATATAGAATGAATCATGATTACTAATTATATTCTTCGTCATCAACATCTTCCTCTTCTTCACTAAATGAATCCTCATCAGAAAAAAACTGTTTCAAGGAGATTTCTCAATCTTTTCATCTCTTCATCGTAAGGAATATACGGTCCCATGCTTACAACTCAAGAAAAACTTATACTAAAAGCTTGAAAACGAGAAGTGCGAAGTGACTCACTGAGAAACGCCAGTACACGCGCGGGTATGACATGCCCGAACAATGCTGGTCCTAAAAAACCGTTGCACTTGCCACCTCAGGAATTTGCCCCATTTAAGTATGTGACCTTGAACTCAGCTACACCAAGTTTCATCCTTTTATGAAAGAATGGGCGAGAAATATACAAAAAGAAAAGTGCACATGGGTATGACATACCCGCCGCGTGTGCTCGCGGGTTAAATAAGAAAGTAAATACTGAAAACAAATTGATCAAAAGACATGCAGTAATGAACACTAGTAGCTCCGACCTGGGTTCGAATCCAGGCGAAGAGGCTGGCTGCATGGGCATTTTCGTGGTTTTCCCCACATATAGTGTATACGAGCCAGTTTCCATGAGAAAGTCCTCCACGAAGGCATCTACCTCTTAGGCAGATCCGTCGTGTGCTTTACCGTAATAAACTAACCTAAACCAAACCAAAATCCTTAATTGAAGATTACTGATTCAGAAGTTGCATCCAAGAATTAGCCAAATTACGTACTAAATAGGTAAGTATATCAGTGTGCTTTGTAGTTAAATTCGAGATGCGTTATTTTCTTAATAGCATTTCTGTTTACATTTTGTCATGT